ATGTAACAATGAAGAATTATTAGTATCTAATTCTCAAGACTTTATGGGGACCATTATCTTTTGTTTACCATACTGTTAAGACAAATTATAAAAAAATCACTTGACAGAAAAACTGCCTGAAAAATACCTGCCTTTGATTCAGGAGGTGACAGAAATTAGTTTTCCTTCTAAACTTAAACCCCAGGGCTCTGTGTGACTTTTAAAAAAATGGATGAACAAATTCTAAATATAAAATGGAGATAATTCAATCTTAAAACTCAAGCAGAATATTGAAAACATTAATAGAAAAAAGTCCAATGTATTCCACAGAACAAAAAAATCAGTCTTTTCCAATGGATATTTAAAGCTAGTGATCCCACTCTTCATTAATCTTTGCTAAAATCTATGTAAACCTCTAGATTTAGTTATTTGTTCAGAACCGGAGTGAAGCCAAAGACACAAAAAATAGGGATCAAACTAAACTGTGAGCAGTTGTTTAAAAAAAAGACTACGTACACATAAAATAGGATTACATACTTTAATCTGATTGACATGGAGGAAGTAGGGAGGACACGAAAGAAACTTAGGTTTTAGCTCTGTTTTATGCATAACCAGATGCTCCTTTTCCAAAAAGTATACTGAGGTTTTAAAAACCACATTTTATCAGAATACTTCAGGAAAACACACTATGTGTAATCCAGGAAATACACTATTTGCAGAATATGAAAATCATCATGAGCAATAAAAGATTAAAACAAAAGAAAGCACCTGGGTTTTGAGCAGTTCTAAAGTAAGTATTATCTGCAGAAATAGTGTAAATGCTCTTGACTGGCTGCTATGGAAACATGCTAATGAGGATTGGTCCATATCTTAACATTTTTTAAAATATGTTTCTTTGGAAAAATGGCTGGGCTGGGAGTAAAGATGTCCTTTTAGACACCCAGCTTATTGGCCTGGGTGAGAACGACTTTGAGAACTGGCATGAAAGCTGAGGTCTCACTGAAGTTGCTGGTGCTAACGATGTGGGTATGGATAGTCAATCCTTCTGAGTAGTTTCGCGATTCAATGCTTCTCGCAATGCTGTGTAGACCATTGATGATTGTAGGTGAAAGCTGAAATAAAGGTAGAATCAAGAGGAAAAATTAGTAGATAAGGAATAATGTCCCATAAGCCCTTATATTTAAAAGGAGATTGAAACAAATATAAAAAAGCAAATAAACCATTTAGCTTTTCTAGAAATAGTTTCTTGGACCAAGCAACTCTTTAAGTTATAAGGTAGAAACATGACAAATGATTTATGTAAGGAAATTATTATGAATTATGAACATGTATGAATCAGGTATTTTTCTATAGAAAAGAAGCCAGCTTTCCTCCCCCAGGCTGAAATACTAATGTCTTTCTCCACTTAAGAGCTTTAATTCTTCAAATATTTTAGATACAGCCTCACACCTTTTAAAACTTTTCCCATGCATATGAATTTAAAGGTTCTTTTCTTTCTTTTTTTTTTTTTTTAAAGATTTTATTTATTTATTCATGAGAGACACAGAGAGAGAGGCAGAGACACAGGCAGAGAGAATCAGGCTCCTCAAGGGGAGCCCAACACAGGACCCGATCCTGGGACCAGGATCATGCCCTGAGCCAAAGGCAGACGCTCAACCGCCAAGCCACCCAGGCGTCCCAATTTAAAGGTTATTAATCACTTATCTCAAAGTAAGGGCCCAATTTATTTTAATACAGTGTCTACAATAGAGATACTGAACTTGTAGTCTACCTGTATTTGTAGCGCAACAGCCCTCCATCAGTACTGAATTTATCAATTTTTAACTGCTTTTTGTAATCTTACCATCTCTTAAAACCATAAAAGCTATAGCTGTTTGTTCCCCCCTGCCCCATGTCCTTACTTGGGTTATTTGCCCAAACTTTTGAGGGGAGAATTTATTTTGGATCAGTCCATGGACCACACCACTTCCACTGTTACAATTTTTTTTGGTTTGGTTCCCATGAGATAAATGGTTATTTTTATCTGATGAGATTCATGTAAGGAATGGAGAAGAAGAATGTTGAAATGCAATTAAAGTGAACAAAGGCCAGTTACCTTAGGGCCAATATAAGCCAGATTATTATTTCTACTCTTCTTCTTTTTTTTTTTAAAGATTTTATTATTTATTTATTCATGAGAGAGAGAGAGAGAGAGAGAGAGAGAGAGAGAGAGAGACACAGGCAGAGGGAGAAGCAGGCTCCATGCAGGGAGACTGACGTGGGACTCGATCCCTGGTCTCCAGGATCAGGCCTTGGGCTGAAGGCAGCGCTAAACCGCTGAGCCACCTGGGCTGCCCTTATTTCTACTTTTTTTTAAAAAATATTTTATTATTCATTCATGAATAATATTTTATATTATTATTTTTTAAGATTTTATTTTTCATTCATGAAAGACACAGAGAGGGAGAGAGGCAGAGACACAGGCAGAGGGAGAAGCAGGCTCCATGCAGGGAGCTCGACGTGGGACTTGATCCTGGGTCTCCAGTATCACGCCCTGGGCTGAAGGCAGCGCTAAACCACTGAGCCACCCAGGCTGCGCTGTTTTGTTAGAAGAAGGGTTAAAATTGCACCCCTACCTCACAAACACACACACATTCCCAATAAATGATATTTATGATTCATCTAGAGAGAGCCCATTCTGTAACTGTCATCACAATTTTGCCTCCAAATATATTACATATGAGTGCTTATGACATGCTTATTTACTAGCAACTAGGAATAAATGATTATCATAAATTCTTCTTTTTCCCCATAAACTTACTGTCTGTTCCCTAAGTTTATCATACAGAAACTCCAAGCGTTTGCTGGCATCATCTAGTTTCCTCTTGGTTTGCTGTGGGAGAGGAAAAACAGATGTGTTATTTGAATATTTAACTTTTATCCAAAGACCTTGTCCTATTTCATTTCACTAACCCTTACACTCATGATGCTGAACAGCTTCATATTATAAAGAAATGGAGGCAACTATGATTCAGAAACTTGAATAGACAAAGTTCAGTAATCTATTAATGGGGGAAGGGTAGGAGCATAAGGGGCTTCCTTCTGGAGTATAAAATGGAGTAGTGGTTGGATTTCATGTGGACTGTAAGCCTGCTGACAAGGTGTGTGCATGTATAACTACATTATCTACAAGCAGTAAGAAGAGCCATCTGGAAGCAGTAGTGAGTTACTGTATTACAAAAAAAGATCAAAAAAATAAAAAATAAAAAAATGAAAAAAAAAACCCAAAAAAAGATCATCTAAGGAGTTACTGTAAAATATGGGTGCTAGCAGGCAAACATAGAGGTGAACTGGAATCTTATTTTAACCTTTCAAAAATATTACTTATATAATTTTTTTTTTAAGATTTATTTATTTATTCATTCAGAGAGAGCGAGAGAGAGGCAGAGAGAGAAGCAGGCCCCATGCAGGAAGCCCGATGTAGGACTCGATCCCGGGTCTCCAGGATCACACCCCAGGCTGTAGGCGGCACTAAACCACTGCGCCACCGGGGCTGCCCTATTACTTATATAATTAGTCATATGTGGCATGTTTAATCTTGCTTCTTCCTGAGCTTTTTTTTTTTTTTTAAAGTAGGCTCCATGCCCAGCATGTAGCCCAACTTGGGGCTTGAACTCATGACCCCCAAGATTAAGACCTAAACTGAGATTACAAATTAGACTCTTAATCGACTGAGCCACCCAGGTGCCCCTCTTGCTGAGCTTTTAAAACACCAAGAAAAAAAACAAAGAAAATTACCTTCTGGTGGCTTAAGATTACTAAGAGCAAAGTAGTAAAATGAGTTCTTAAATCAGAGTCCTCCTACCTCCCACTCCTCATACTAGAAGTATAGTGAGAGAAAACTACTCTAAAACTAAAATTAAACATTTCAATTACAATGTGATTAATCTAATGATGTACATTATGCAACAGCCTTAGAAGTGACATTGTTCTTCAATATTAATAAATATTAATATTTAATATTAACGCTTATGTCTCATGGACCTCAAATTCTATTGGATGGGAAAAAGATACAAAATAAACAATATGCTGTACATGAGATGATGATGAATGCCATGAAAAAAAGTTTAATAGAGTGAGGGGCTAGAAGTGTTGGGAGTGTGAGGTGGTAAAGAAAGGCCAGATAGCTCCTGAGACATTTGAGCAGAAGCCTAGAGCACATGTGGAGTGAGTAATACAGTTATGTGAGGGAAGAATTCCAGGCAGAAGGAGCAGCAAGGGGCAGCCCGGGTGGCTCAGAGGTTTAGCGCCATCTTCAGCCGAGGGCATGATCCTGGGGTCCTGGATCGAGTCCCATGTCAGGCTCCCTGCATGGAGCCTGCTTCTCCCTCTGCCTTTGTCTCTGCTTTTCTCTCTCTCTCTGTGTCTCTATGAATGGATAAATAAAATCTTAAAAAAAAAAAAAAAAGGAACCCATAAAAAAAAAAAAAAAGGAGCAGCAAGTACAAAGCTGTCCATGCTGACATGCTCTTGGTATGTTGGAGGAAGGAATGTCAATGTGTCAGACACGAGGAGAAAGGAAAAGTTCCAGAGTTTTTGCCCACTGAGTATGATGCTAACTGTGGGTTTTTCATTTAAGGTCTTTATTATGTTGAGGTATGTTCCCTCTAACATCAACTTTGTTGAGGGCTTTTATCATGAATGGATTTTGTACTTTGTCAAATGCTTTTTCTTTTCTTTTTTTTTTTAAAGACATGGGGGATTTTATTTTTTATTTTATTTTTTAAAATTTTTATTTATTTATGATAGTCACACATTGAGAGAGAGAGGCGGAGACATAGGCAGAGGGAGAAGCAGGCTCCATGCACCGGGAGCCCGATATGGGATTCGATCCCGGGTCTCCAGGATCGCGCGCGCCCTGGGCCAAAGGCAGGCGCTAAACTGCTGCGCCACCCAGGGATCCCTCAAATGCTTTTTCTGCATCTATTAAAATGACTGTGTAGTTTTTACCCTTTCTCTTGTGGATGTGATGCATCACATTGATTGGTCTGTGAATATTCATGAATTTATATGTCAACCTCATGCAGGGGCCATGCTAATCTTTCTATTGGTCCAATTTTAGTATATATGCTGCCGAAGTGAGCAATGATTGATTTATGAATACTGAATAACCCTTGCATCTAGGGAATAAATCCTACTTGATTGTGGTGAATGATTTTTTTGTTTGTTTTTTGGTGAATGATTTTTTAAAAAGATTTATTTATTTATTTGAGAGAGAGAGAGAGCATGTGTGTGAGAAGACAGGGAGGGGCATTATTTACAATAGCCAAATTGTGGAAGCAACCCAAATGTCTATCAATAGATGAATGGATAAAGAAGATGTGGTATGTATATATATATATATATATATACATATATATATATATACATATATATATATATAACAGAATATCATTCAGTCATAATAAGAATGAAATCTTGCTATTTGCAATAACATGAATGGAGCTTAGAGGGTACAAATGCTAAATCAAATAAGTCATTCAGAGAAAGACAAATATATGATTTCACTCATATGTGGAATTTAATAAACAGAATAAACTACCGAAGGGAAAAGAGAGAGAGAGAGACAGAGACAAATCAAGGAACAGATTCTAAACTATAGAAAATAATATGATGTTTTCCATTTCCCACAGGGAAGGTGGGTGGGATGGGTGAAATAGGTGATCAGGATAACGAGTACACTTATCATGATGAACACTGAGTAATGCACAGAATTGTTGAATCAATACATTATACACCTAGAATGAATTAAAAAAAAAAAAGGAGAGAGGAAGAGATGACACTATCAAGGATAACATTACAAACTAAGTCATGCTGTAAAATTATGGTGGTGTCTGGACATAACTCAAGTAAAAAGAGGAATAAAGCCATATCACAAAAATGATTCCAGCTAGTGATTAAAAGGATTTGTATGGAGGGGAACCCTGACAGTCCCTGCTCAAAGCTAATCTCATCTACCTACCAGCAGAAGCCCTACCCCAGTGGCAGAGTCAGCTGGACAGGACAGGCTATTAGGACTTCTCCCCTATTTATAGGAATTATAGGAACAGTTTGTCTTTTGTGGTTCTCTTCTGCCCAAGGCTCCTTTGGACCCAGAATGAAGACGATATGCTGACACAGAGGAGTTTAAACTCAACAAAAATTTATTGAGCTGGGTTGTGTACTAGGTGTCTTAACCACTCTATACTGACTCATGCCTGAAGGAGGGTTGGAGTTTTCCTTCATTTTTATTAGGACTCTTCTATTTTTGAATGTGCCCTATTTGGAGGTGTTCACAGGGGACAGTGTATGCTAGACTGCTTCATCTGCTCGTTGTTCCTTGCTTAGTGCTTCCATCACTTCCAGAATGCTAGGCACGAAGGTTTATGTGAACCTTTCCCTGCTTCTGCTTTCCTGACATATGTAACACAGGGAATAGCCTTCCAAAAGACCAGAAGAAAGCTGCACATGTTAATACTCTATGTTTTATGAAACAACAAATTCCAGAAGCTGTTTTTCAAGCAGACAAGTGGCCAGTGGATAAATAAATATATTCAATGTTTGTTGGCAGAAATTGAAATTTCATCTAAAACAAGATCAGCTTTGTAGGATTTTTGTTGTTGCCAATACACAAGCATCCTCTAGGTAAACTAATAAAACCAGTTGCTTTAACTATGAATATGACTCTAATACCTAAAACAATTTTTTTAAGTTTTTTTTTTTTAAAGATTTTATTTATTCATGAGAGACAGAGAGAGAGACAGACAGACAGACAAAGGCAAAGGGAGAAGCAGGCTCAATGCAGGAAGCCCGATGTGGGACTCGATTCTGGGACTCCAGGATCACGCCCTGGGCCGAAGGCAGACGCTCAACCACTGAGACACCTAGGTGTCCCAAGATTTTTGCAAAGTTATACATAAGATATCTATCTACTTTTAAAAACTTTGATCTAAACTCAGAAAGAAAGCCCAAACTTGAATTTCTTTCTTTTTTTTTTTTTAAACTTGAATTTCTTACACACCACCATTCTGTTCTATTTAAGTGCCAAACATGAGGTTTGCTGATGAGAGGCAATACAGGATAGTGGCTGAGAGCATAAATTCTGGACCCAAACTGTGTTTGAATTCTGGCTCTGACCTTGGGTATTACTTAACTGCTTTTTTGCCTTAATTTGGTCATCTATAAAATAAAGATGACAAATAACCCTGGGGTTATTGTGAGGATTAAATTATTTATATAGGGATCCCTGGGTGGCGCAGCGGTTTGGCGCCTGCCTTTGGCCCAGGGCGCGATCCTGGAGACCCAGGATCGAATCCCACGTCAGGCTCCCGGTGCATGGAGCCTGCTTCTCCCTCTGCCTATGTCTCTGCCTCTCTCTCTCTCTCCCTCCCTGTGTGACTATCATAAATAAATAAAAATTAAAAAAAATAAATTATTTATATATAATAGAAATTATAATACATTTTTATATGTAAAGCAAACTATGTAAATGCTAGTTTTACTACTATTGTACAAACTTCTAAAGTGTATCTTGTAAGACTCTGTGCAATTACAGAAGAGCTCCATAAATGAGATTATTTTAAATAAGCAAAATATGAGAAAAAAAATACATACGGGATCTGTGGCTGAAGAGAGGCAGCGCTGAATAAGATCCTCAAATGTGGTCTTCAGAATGAGGTGCTCATCTGGAATAGGTTTTTTGGTAATTTTTTCTGTTGGCAAAGACTGCACATGCTGGAAGAAATAATATCATAAAATGACCAGAAATGACCAGAAACTACCTATACACAAAGCCCTAAAAGTGTGACAAAGAGAAACCAACTAACTACCTTATAGATAGGCTGTTAAAATCAAATGACAAATTAACATGTGAAATCCCTTGGGATAAGTAAAATGAAAATCACATATTCAGTAGAAGGTACAGGCTTCTACAGCTTTGATTTTCAAAAACAGAACTGGATATAAAGTATCTGGCCAATTATGGAACATATGCTGATCACTACAGTATGTATCTGGTGCAAAGTAGACAGCCAGTAGGAAATAAAAAGAACAGGCATTTAAAAAGCTTGGCTAGTTAGAGTGGCTGCTTGCTCTGCTTGTTGGCTCATTTATCTTGGCATTCTTCTAGTCTTTGGTTTACTCTTGGAGGTTGGTAACTGGGCTATCATCAAACTGCAAGATTAAGTCAAAAGTTGGAATGGAAGAGACCACCATGTTACTGAATGCATAGCTGGAAAAACAAAGAAGGAATGTTTAAGTTTTTAAAGTTCTGATTTATTAGTTCATTCATTCAAAAAATATTAGGCAATTATGTGCCAGGCACTGGCTATGTATTTGCAAGCCAATTCAGAAGTGATCTCAGTTTATAGGCTAATAAAGAAAAAGAACGTTTTAAAGTGTCATAAAACAAAAACTTTACATTTATATCTTAATGAAGATGTTACTTGAAAAAAAGTTAAAAAATAGAATGTCATTAATACACTTAAAATAGCAACTGTATTGCTATTTAATTGCTTATTTAATGTTAAGAAGTTAATGTTAAGGAACCAACAGACATTATTACTGGAATTGAACTGAGGGGAAAGCTCTCTTCAGGAAATTTTATCAGAAGGACAAGTAAGAGTTAACCAGTTAAATGGGAAAGGAGAAGCCTTCCAGTCAAAGGAAGAACTTGTATAAAGGAAGGATCATGACATCATGACAAGGGGACTAAAAGGAGGCTAGTGTAGCTGGGGCAGAGAGACAGCAAGGAGAAGTATGAAACTGATGGCTTCCTGGCAATGTAAAATATTTTGGTCTTTATCTGGAGAGCAATGTTTTAAGCAAAGCAGAAACAAGACCAGATAGATCAGTCAAAGGCAGACCAGTTAGAGGCTCCTGCACTGCTGAAGACCTGAGATGAAGGCGGCATAGCCCAGACTTTAGTATAGACCAGGGATTTGAGAGAAATTTTAAAATGCTATCAATACAACTTAGGGAAAGATTTGAAAGAGGGATTGAAGGAAAAAGAGCATAAAGACAATGCCCAGGTTTTTGGCTAGATTAAATAGAAAGGATTACAGTGCAGTTCACAGAAACAAGAAACACCAAGTTTTGAAGACTGGGTTTGGGAGGATGACTATGAATAGGGTTTTAGAAATGTTGAGTGTGAGGTGCCTCAGAGACATCCAGGTAGGGAAGCAGTTGGATATAATGGCCTGGCTAAACAAGCATTCCCTGCGCAGCTTTCCCTTCTGATGGTAACTGAGGTTCTGGTCTAAATGAGTACAGCATGGGAACCCCATGTCTAAACAAAAGTGAATGGCTGGGTAGCTTCCTAAAATAGCATAGACTTGTAATCATTTTAAAAAAAATTAGCAATGGATCTTTATAATTAATATTCCTGTGGAAAGAAGTCAGTCCTCCTACCTCCATCAAAACATTGGTTTTTATAATGCAACTTTTAATATTTAGAAGTTCCTTAGGCAGAACTCTCACTTAATAGTAAAGTATACCCTTGTGATAGAGATATAACTTTATAAATTTGACTTCAATGAATCAAAGACAAAAATAGAACTAGTTTTACACTCTGGACAAGGATTTGTTTCCTCTTCTTATGTTAACTTTGACCCAAGCTCTTCACTTTTCATGAACAAATCAAAATATTTATCTTTATATGTCTAAATCAGTTATATGTGATTTTTCATTGTCTAGAACCCTGCCAACTGACTAGTTGCTTATCTGTGAAAAGCAGGTACAAATTTATAGCTCCACCTGAAGATAGGCTGTATATTACCAGCTCTTACACAAGAAAAAATATAACTCATTACATTTTTATTTTATATTTTAAAGGGAAAAACCTTTGAAAATACCTTCTGTTTAGCAAGCTTGGCTGAAAATACGGAATTGAATTGATCTTAAATTGTGGCTCCTGATTAGGTCAAATGAAATACTGCAACTGTCAAGTTAGTGTAAACATACATAAGCAAATATATGAGCCACTTCTAGAAAGTTTATGGCCATGTAAGTGAAAAATAATACCCATGCATGATCAATCTTAAAAGAAGGGTTACTATTTTTTATTTAGGTTGTCTTAATTGAAACCAAATTTAGATGTTCATTAATAAA